TCACAGCCCTGGTCTTAGGGAGGAAGAGAAAGGTATGGATGGGGAGAAGGACCTAGGTGCTGTCTTTCCAAACCTGGATCAACGCCTAGATTTTCTGTCCTAGATTTGGGCAGTCATCTGCAGATGTTTATTATGTATGAGAGTCATTAAAATGAAACCACCTGAATGATAGCAAGGACTTATAATTTTCCCACAAGGATGTTACTTTTTTGAGGCAAGGAAGGAAGGGGGGGGAAAGTTTCTCTTCAGCTTTGAAAAACTGTCACAACTGTCAGTGCTAAATGGAAAATACTGAATTAAAGAGATGCAGAACTAGAGCTGTTTATTAAAAGAACCCCACGACAACAATTCCCTCTTCCCCCCCGCCCCAAAAAAAAAAAAAAAAAAAAGAACCCCACTATTGGAAACACAAGATGTGAGCAAGTACTTCAAATTCAGGGACAGACTCCAATGACAGGCAGCAGGACTGAGCCCCCACCAGGGCTGGGGCAGCAGCCTGTGCCTAACCCGGCCACCACTTGGTTAATGCCCCACCACTTTGTTTTGTTACAGCATCACCAAGGACAGCTCGCCTCTTTTCCATCAACAGCAGGTCAGCTTTAAGTTGCTTGAATCATTTGGGGAAAAAAATAAGCCTGAGGGTAGACCCAAATCAAATTCTCCCAGCTCAAATGCTGTGATCACAGGGGTAACCCGAGCCCAGAGATCAGCTTGGCTGCTCTGGGCTCTGTCTGTGACCAAAGGCAGTCTCAGGGCATACCTAGCCCAATTTTCTACCAGCCCATATTGACAGGCACAACAGTTTTTAATTGGTACCCTGAGAAGTCGCATAGAGAATGAAACAAAATTAATGCAGGTATCCCAGAGAGAACTGCAGCAGGGGAGGCCAGAATTGAAAAAGATTCATAGTCCTTTATTTGCTGAATCTTTCCCCAAGCATTTTGGTTTGTGAAATTTTGCTTCTTTGCCTTAATCTGGGTATTTATACAGATAATAAGTAATGAGAGCTAGTGGCTCAGTAGCATGAAAATAGGTTTTTCAAATTGCAGGTATAGCAGAGTATTACCTTTTTGCAACCACACAAAATGTTTTGGGAATCAAGCTGTAAAATCACAATGAGTACAGCAAATCAGATCAAATCTGGATCTTTGAGCCAGGAATATTTAAACTGTAACACTAATTCATCCCCCAAAGAGTTTATATGCTTATTTGGCTTCAGGAAATAGAAGACAACTGGCAGTGACCCTATTCTCACACTTCCTGCCCTATTTTGGGGAGCGGGGAGGGAAWCTGAGAATTTCTATCATTTTCTCAGGAAAGACTCACAGATAATGTCATGTTCAAGCATAGCACAAGTCAGGTCTACAGCCTGGCCAAATACCTAAATCCACGATTTGGCTACAAGGAAACATTCTTCAAAGCAGCTCTCAGCTGGCATTGTCATCTTTATGTGCACTGGTGCTTGCCAACTGATATTAAAAGATTGCCTTTGTCAGGAAACTGTCCCTTCTCATAAGTTCCTACTTCAAACTAAATCCTGGAACCAGAAACCTGGCAGGAGAGYGCCTGTTCTGCCAGTAGGACCCGATGCCCTGAGTACATGAGGATTTATCCTTGTCAAGCTCAKCAGCCAGGACAGGCAGCTGGCAGCTCCCACAGCTGCAGGCAGCAGCACAGCGCCTGCTCTCTGCAGCCCAGGGCGAGACACCCACCACCAGCAGCACTTCCTTCACCTATTTTTAGGCCCCYATGGATGTTACTAGTTAACTACCAACTGGCTGTGAAATGTCTTTTCATTAAAAAATCCAGCCAAAGAAACTTGCTCCAGGACATATAATGAGGGAGTGCAGCCACCAGTTTGCCCACCTAAATTATTAAAAATCCTACTGTTCATCCACAGTTTGCACTGAGGCCCCTTCAGAAAAGCTCTCTCAAGATGTTAATGAGAAAATGGGATATATGCCACTTTGGGCAAAGTTGAATTAAAGAAGAAAATAATACACAGGTAACAAAAAAACTATCTTTAAGCATCTGAATTTGGTACCATTTCTCCTTTTTTATTTTTTTATTCTAAAGCTGGAGGAGCTGAAGTATTTCCCATGCCTAAGTTAATGCTGCCAATATGATGCTGCTGGAACTACTTACATGAATTTCTATACTACATCAATATACCCAGATTTTCCACTAGCTGTGGTAAAACAGAACCATGTTTTTGGACCAAAAATCAATTTCACTTTCCACTTTTAGGTGGGGGGAGGGGGGGGGAGGGGGAAAGAGAAAGAATAAATCACAAAAATCATGATGAAAATAAACTGCATTTTTCATCTGAAGGAATGGCATGCTCTCCTTCCCATCTCTCCACTTTCTGGAATGTTTTCTATTAATATGAACATTTTTTTCAGCCCAGCTGTTTCCTCCCACTGTAATCTCCCACATAACCTCTTTGCAGGTGTGGAATCTTTATACCAGCCCCAAATTGCTTTTTTCCTGGCTGACAAAAACCACTTTGAGAGTGCAAAGCTTTCACCCTTTCAAAGACACCTATAACACTAAAGGGCACGGACTCCGAAGTGTTGACAGCCAGACCCCCACACCCCCGCCACCTCTCAGCAGCAGAATGCATTGTGCTATGAAAATGATGAACGATCTTCAGYGGGGTGATCGTGTGTTATTTTGACAGCCAGGAGATGGGAGCTGTACTGGGTGTATATATTCCTCCAGAGAGGCAACAAAACAAGGTGGCTCAGTCCTGCTTCCCAGGTCACATCCTACATCAGCGAGCTGCTGATAGCAATTGCTGTGGGCAGCCGCTTTACTGTCCATCCCTCATCACTGCCTCCAAACTGTAAATCTCTCCCGAGGTGAATGCTCTACCTGCTCTCTCCTCCTGTCRCTCCCCCAGACTGTTAGGGGATGGCTTTCTGTAAGTGGGGGTTCCTGAGGGCCCAGACTGCTGCCTCCACCTCTCCTTTTGCAGAGAGAGATCAAAGCAAAAAGCCCACAGGGGGAATGAACAGTCTCACCTTGGCTTCTGTTAAAAAGAAGAAACAAAAGCAGAAGGGGATGAATTAGAYTGGATACCAGCACCAGGAGAAAGCAGTCATTTTACTTTACATTCAGAAACTCAATTTTCTGTGGCATATAAATCAAAGGAATAAAACCTGCTGCAGGCAGTAACTGTCATTTATTCCTGTAGCTGTACCTTGAAAAATCCCCAGAGTTTGTTCTGGGACCATGAAGCCCCAGTCTGCTGTGCAAGAGGACATTCAAGTGCTCCCTCCAGACAAGTGGCACACAAACCCCTGACCCAGTGAGGCACATGTCACAGCACAGCCTCCACACGTGTGTCTGACTACAGCTAAACTTCCTATCTGCTCCTAACACCGATTCTTCAGACAGGCTTATGGACCACGGCACAAAAGCCAGTCCCAGCTGCATGSAAAGCTGGGTGGGTTTGCATTTTGCAAGCATGGGTTGTGCCTGCACCCCCTCCCATAAACGGAGCACACACGGGCAGACTGAAAAGGTCAGCTGTGTCCCTAGATCTCATCTAGCTTGCAACTCAAACCCCAGGAAACATGACTTGTTTATTCACCTTTTCCAACTTTTAAGTTTAGTACAATTTTTGCTTCAAAATTGCAACTTCACTTTCAGAAACACTTGAAGAAATAAAACACCAGAATGGTTAACAGTAACAGTGCTAYAGAGTGAGGGAAACAGTTACCTACKAAAGAAGGGCTGTGCACACACTCGCAGGAAGAACAGTGGGGAATTTCAATTACCCATCAGTTGACATTAGGAAGATCCAGGTAGGGCCGTTTCAACCTCCTTCAACCTGTCTGTTTAGGAGACTACAAGGCAGGAGCTTGTATTGGATCTGGCTGAAATCAGCACACAGGCTGCAATCAGCTCATCATCCACTGAGAGCTGGAGCGAGGAGCACATCTGCCCAGCTGACACAATYCATCATTGTGAAGGGCACATTCATCCCAAAATGTTCTGGTGCTCATTGCTGAGGAGCTCCATGTCCTGTGTAACCACAAAGAATCTCAAAACAGGCCGAGCATGCCTAAGCCTACACTTCTCCCTCTCACAGCTCAAGAAACTGTCACATACAGTCAYTGATTTGTCCCATGTTACAGAACAAATCAGTGCCAGCACAAGAATAGAAGCTGATTAACAATTTCAGCAACCCTGAAGTTCAATGTCTTAAAAGTTAGCACAAGGAATAAAAAACAAAACAAAAAAGCAACGTACCCAGGTCAAAGTAATTTTATTAATAACTCAAGAGCAAATTGCTACATTTTACCAAGAAAATCACAGATTTATGTACCAGGGCAGAAATTGGAAAGTTGCATACTAAAATGCCGATTATGCAAATTTATCTTATGAACAWTTTTAGACAAGAATGAAGCAGGGTTTATTTTCTTTAATTAAAACCAGAATCCTACATAGTTCATTAGCATGGATTCTGAGGAAAATTAATATTAATGTAGCCCACCTCTTGCAATTCTACCTGCCACAAATACCAAGGTAAAAAAGGGTTAGAAAATGGATTCCTGAGCAAATGTAAATGCAACTAGCTTACGTCACTGCAAGGCTGCTGGCATMTTTGAAAGGTCGCAGAGATCAGGAAAACCTTTTTGAGTGGAAAAAGGCAAATAATACTGCCACCTTCAAAAAGGCACAAAAGAAGATCTGGGGAACTGCAGGCTGCCCAGCCTCGCTTCAGTCCCCAGCAATGTTACAGGATGAGCCATTTTGGAAGGTGTTCCAGGTACRAGAAATACCAGGTGATGGGGAACAACCAGTCAATGCCAGTTCACCAAGAGCACGTTCTGCTTGACACCCACTGCCCCYCAAGGGGCARTGACTGGCTCTGTGGCAGAGRGGACACCACAGGYGCCATTYRCCTGACTCCAGCAAGGCTCMTRGYCTGACTGAGGCACAAACTACTKCGTGGATGAAGAATCTTGGGTCTATTCGGCATAAAACAGTGGTTCAAGCTTAACTGTCAGGTCATTACAAGTGACATTCCTCAGTCACCAGAACTTGAGCAAAATGTGCTGAACATCTTATTTAACAGAAGAGCCCAGCCAAGGGCACTGGTTTGTGCAGCCTGGAGAGGGGAAGGCTCAGAGGAGACCCAGCTACAGTTTCATACTAGAGCAGGGATTGTGAAGAAGACAGAGCCAGACTCCTCAGACATGCAGTGAAAGGGCAACAGACAACTGCAAACTGCAACCAGGGAGCTGGGCATGAAGAACAAATGCTCGGCTATGGGAGCAGCTAAGTGCTGGAACAGGCACCCAGACAGGCTGTGGGACCTCCACCACCAGAGGTTTCCAAACTTCAGGGTCTTGAGCAACTTGGTCTAGCTTTACAGCTGGCACAGTAATTCACAGGTTGGACTAAATTATCTCCAAATCACCTTTCAATCTATTTTTTTCTATGATTCTGTGATTCCAATTTTCTATGCATATCCAAGTTTAATCAGTGAAAAGACACAAGGCRCATTTATTCTCATGGGGCTCCAGGATGTTCCACCTGTCAGGTCTGAGGCACCATTACTCTGCTTCATCAGCCAAAAACTTCATGTACTGTTTCCGAGCAGGAAAATCATCAGCCGGCCTGTTGTACGCTGTCCAGACGGGCTCKCCAACAAACAGCCTCATTGCCTTCACATAATTCTGTCAAAGAACAAGAAGTAACAAAAAATTTAAGAGCTCCTTTTCAAGGGATCTTCATTCCAAARTTAAGGCTTCATTTGCACTTCCACAGAAATTTTTGAAACTATTCCATGGTGGACTGAAAGCTTCACACAGTCTGGAAAATTATACCCCTATACTGCTGTTACTGTTCCCAGTGCCTGCACTGGAAGACTCTRTCACCAGTGTGGTGATAAATTGTGTCATGATCAGGGCCTCCAGTTTGGGCAGGAGCAGCACCTCTCCCCATTTTAAAGAAGCCAAAAATATCCTGTCTTAAGCAAATCTTTTGCACTGGACCCACAATACTCAGCAGTGCAGCATTTAAATCCTATTTTCTTAGTTACACAGCAGCAACCAGAGTACCCTGGATGTCTACACAATGCTTTTGGGGAATACCAGGAACTTTGAARTCAGAGCCATAAAAACTGAATGGGAAGTGATGAACTACCCAAAAAATAATGATTACAGGAAGGGAAGTCTCCTCTTTTCAACAGCCTCTGACACCAGCTAACCAAAAGTATGCCTGCTGCAARGTACAGCTGTGGCAGCAGAAAATGGGATTTTACATCCTGCAGAAGTGCTCCAAACATGGAAGGAAGGAAACTCTCCTGTCCACTATGCTACAGATTTGGACCCTATCGGTTCTGTAAAACACAGACAGATTATTATCCCACACCCAAGTGTTTAGAAATKGTAAAAATAAAGTTAGGTACCAAAAGAACTTAGTTGCCAAATGCAAAGGTCTAGAAGCACCTGAAGATTTTACTTTGAAGATGGCACTTTTGGATTTAAGCTCCTGAAGTAGAGAAACATTTAAGACTTYRTGGGGATTCAACCATAACCCCTTAYATTTTGTCTGCATAAAGAAAAAGTATTAAAATAGTAAATACAGCTTATTCGCTGTGGATCTCAGGCTACAGATGGGAAAAGTCAGGTTTTTCACCAAAGCAGCATCTCCCTTTCTCACAGGTATCAATACTGCTATCAGACAGCTGATTCAAAACAGTACCATTTTCAAGGCTTCACCAGAGATGTGATTTTTGCCACACAGGAGACAGCGAATATTTCCCCATTTTGCAGGGCTAATTCTGAGGTTACAAACATGTTTGTAAAAGCCCACGAGAACAGAAACACAGATCAGGACTGTGAGTGCCAATCTCATGCTCCATGACAAAAATACCTTCCCAAAGGAGGTCACCTCCTATGAAGTCAGCATCCAGCCTAGCACACAGCAGTTGCAAGCAGTGGCTCTGGACCCTTAAATCCTTGTTTCCCYGAAGGTGAATTTAACACTTGTGAAAAATGTCAACTGCTGGGCACAGACATGCTCTTCTATCTCCACAAAAATACACAACAAGGCAACACAGAAGGATCCATCTGCACCTTGTCCACCTCAGCTGACAGCTGGGGCAATTGTGGGAGGGACAGTCCAAGGCCTGATATGCCCCAGATATCACGTGGAAATGACTTACAGTTACAGCTGACAAGGAAAAGCAGGATTTGTGACCTGGAGATGAAAGGTTCAGATGCTGTGAATTATTTAGTATTTTTCATTCTCCTCCTTCATATTTAATATGTTTTGCTAATGAACTGCAAGTCTCAGGGCATGCAGTTACTAATGTGATATACACTCACATGGATTTGTCATCAAAATTTACGGTAATCTACAACAACATACGTTCTCATCCAGTGTAAATCGGTGATAAATGCCAGCAGGGAGGGTTATCATGTCTCCTTTTTCCATGGAAATCCGAATCCATTTGTCATCCTTGTCTCGAACATCAAAATAGCCAGATCCCTCTAAGATGTAGCGAATTTCATCATCGAGGTGTAAATGTTCTTCATAAAATGTTTTTATCTAGGAATAGCAAATATTTCTTAAAACTATTGGACATGGGAAAACTGCAAAGAAATCTGGTAGAAACACGTGGCAAAGCAGAGAAGGGCTTTTGAGGGGTAACTGTGTTTTAACTAACAGAGGAAACCAACATGGTTATGATGGCCAAGCCAGCCAGCCAGACCCTGTCTCAGACACATCTAAACAGGCTCCTACATTTCCTTTGGAGGACAGGAATTCTTCTAGCAAGAAACAGCAGCTCTAGCTGTACATAACCATTCTTTGAATAACAGTAATGCCTACACATTAGGCATTTTGAGAGAGATGGGTAGAACCTTTTGAGAGAGATGGGTAGAACCTCCCACTGCAGGGTTTGGTCCTTGTGCTTGCTCGGTTTGGTCATTTTGTGCTTTTTTTTTTTCCCCAACACACAACACCAGAACAAAGCTACAGATTATCCCCCCTATTTTACACTTATGTAGAGCTGAATTAGTTGCTCAGGGTACTACTAGTATCTGCAAAAAGAGTTACTGCCAAACGCAGCCCATCTACAGCAATCTGATATAAAGTGTGTCAAGCCTGCCCACACACAGTGAGACTCAGCTCCAGGCTCTCTCCTTCAAGGCAGCGGCAGCAACATTCTCTTTTTTATGGAATGGTTAATTCTTCATACATGTACAGAATATAAAACACATTTTAAGAGTCAATTAATGGAGACATTAGAGGGTTAGCACACAGTGAGSAGAGCAATGCCAAGTACCATCATCACCTGCTCAGGTCTGGATTTAGCCACACTTGTGCAGGTGTCCTTGAGCCAGAATTGAGCCAGCATTCAGGATGAGCAAAAGTCCCTACATCTTGAAAAAAAAGTATCTTCTCACCAAGATAAAACCATTAATTACAATGGGCTTAAAACAAACTGGTAAATGGAAATTTAATAAAAATATCTAAGTGTCACTGGGTTGCTGTCCTCAAGTCAGAGCAGCAAGCCACCAGCACTTGGAAGCTGGGATGAGAAAACTCTTTCTGGGAGGCTCACCTGAACAGCATTAAGAAATTTTGGAATTTTCAAGGTAAAAAATCTTATATAGGGCAGGTATCCCTCCAATTCCATGGGTTAATACTAACTTTAAAAAGACTTATGCAAGCAGCCATTAGGATGTCTTAGCCTTCAAAGCCCAAGCCCAGCTGGCAGTCACTTGCCTTCATCCTAGAGAGGCTCACTGAGGACAGGTCAGCATTTGCAGAACTCTCCTGGTAGGAATCTTAGTTTTGAAATTACTAATGATGGAAATGATCCTCAAAACCTTTGAGGACAATCTACAGAAGCAAAAGGCCTCTGCTATCTTTAAAATAATATCAAAAGTTCTTTTTTGATGTTAAGGACTTTGGTACAGGATGTATTTTAGACATGGAAACCTCATCTCTGTGACCTGCTGGGCTATGCAGGTGTCACACTTGCCGCACCAGACAGTGCAGAAACCAGCACTGAAAGCAAAGATYCGCATACCTTTTCCTCATAATTTGGAAGCTTGTCTTTATGTATGGTCACTATGTCCATCCAAGAATAATTTTCTGYTCTCCGAATCTCTTTCAAGCATGGATCAGTCTCATAGTTATCAGCATCCAACTAAAAAAAAATAGGCAAAGAGAAAAAACAAAACAAAAAACATTCGGACGCCATTGCTCAAGGCGGAGCTCAGGGCACTCGTGGGAACCCGAGGTACCGGGAGCTGCAGGGGAACTGCCACAGGGACACGGCGGATCGGCACTCGGTACCGGGCCCCGCTGCCTCCCCTCCGTGCCCTGCCCTGCTCTGCCCGGCCCTGCCCTGTCCTGCCCTGTCCGCCGCTCTCCGCGGGCTCAGCCCGACCCCGCGGCTCCTCGCCTTGCCCTGCGCTACACCGCCGAACACCCCGCCGAACACCCACCACCCCGCCGTACCCTGCGGTACACCACGCCGTACCCCTCGGTACACCCCGCCGAACACCCCAACACCCCGCTGTACCCTGCGGTACACCACGCCGAGGCGGCGCAGCTGCTCCAGGCTGACGGCGGGGTTGGGCTGCAGGCGGTGCGGCGCCCGCTGGTCCTCCTGGGACTCGTCCATGTACCAGGCCTCCACCATCCCGCCGCCACAGCGTCCACGGGGCCGGCCCGGCAGCGCGTCCCGCCCCGACAGAGCTCCGGGCCCGGCAGCGCGTCCCGCCCCGACAGGGCTCCGGGCCCGGCAAGGACCCGAACGGTCCCGCCCCGACAGGGCTCCGGGCCCGGCAGCGCGTCCCGCCCCGACAGGGCTCCGGGCCCGGCAGGGATCGGG